CTGTCAACCTATCTTTGTTTATTAAGTGCAAGTCTCTGTGTGTGTGCTTCCTCCGGTATACGCGCATGCATACATACATACATACATACATACCCACATACATACATACATACATACATACATACATACACAGAAAATTTGATGGCCTATGCATTGCTTTCTGGATAAATCCTTAGACCCTAAACCCTACAAGGAGGGGCCCCCTTACTACACTAACTATAGTTAAGGGACTTATAACCTTATCTAGGATTTAGGGTCCTTATGGCTCTACTTACAACTAGGGGGGGGGGGGGGGGGGCCCTCCTTGTAGGGTTTAGGGTTTAGGGTTTCGGGTTTAGGGTTTAGGGTTTAGGGTTTCGGGTTTAGGGTTTCGGGGCTTCGGGGATAGAAGGCAACTTTCAGGCACAGAAGTCGACGAGCTGCCCGAGGCTTGGGAGCCGACTCCTTCGAAGGGAGTGAATGCTCGACAGGCCCAAAAAAGGTAGGGTTTAGGGTTTAGGGTTTAGGGCTTAGGGTTTAGGGTTTAGGGTTTAGGGTTAAGGGTTTAGGGTTTAGGGTTTAGGGTTTGGGGTTTGGGGTTTGGGGTTTGGGGTTAGGGGTTTGGGGCTTGGGGTTCAGGGTTTAGGGTTTAGCCGCGATGTTCAATTTAGGGTTTGAGGGTTTAGGCTTTCTCATGGCTCTTGGGTTTATCATGGTTTCAGGGTTTCTCATGGTTTCAGGGTTTCATGGTTTTAGGGTTGCATGGATTTAGGGCTTCATGGTTTTAGGGTTTCATGGCTTTAGGGTTTCGGGTTCAGCTCAGAAGACATACGGAGGGCGTATGGGGCAATTTTTGGCAAAGGATGCAAGGAGCCTGGCATGGGTACCGGTTTGTCCACAGCTCCAGGCTGCAAAGGGCGAAATGTGCAGAACTATGAAACCCTAAACCCTAAACCCTTAAGGGTACTAGAACCCTTATATAACAGTAATAGGGAGTATAATAGGGGGCACTCTAACTCGAATCCCCTTTAAGGACTGCTAGTAAGGGGGAACATCCCATCCTCCACCCTGCTAGAAACCAAGTCCTAATAAGTCCTCAATTAAGGATTCAAAGCAGCAACAGCTGACAACTTTGATCTGCGGCAAGGCAGCTTTCTGTGCCAGCTCACGCGCGCGTTTCGCGCTTGCGGCTTCGGATGTGGGGTGAGGGCTTGGGGTAGTTTCAGGGTTTCGGTCTGATTCCAGCAGCGTTTGTTGGGTTAAGGGGTATGGGTGGCATTGGAGTCTGTGAGTTTCCCAAGGCCTGAATGCCAAACCTCTTCAAAGCTGTATTGTCTAGATCCAGGAGTAACCAAGGAAAAACAGCGTGCCCTTTTTGGTTTAATTTTATAAGGGAACCCAAACCCTAAAAAGGGAATCAATGCCGACTTTGTTCATCTTAAGCCCTCCACCCCTCGGCTGAAGCACCTCACATGCTCGGCTTAGTTGCTGAGTTCATAAGCCCAAAAAAATGTACACTTTCAGTTCCATAGGGGATTATAGTATCCCAATCAGTGCAAAGTGTACTCATTCAGCTAGCAGCTAGACTAAGTCGGTGTGCTTGGATGCGGCACATCTTGCAGCGCATCTAGGCGGGGAGCCTGAGGGCCACAGGGCTTAGGATGATGGAGATTTGGGCCCACTAAGACTCCAACCCTAAACCCAAAACCCAAAACCCAAAACCCTAAGCCCTAAAGCCTAAAGCCTAAAGCCTAAAGCCTAAAGCCTAAAGCCTAAAGCCTAAAGCCTACTGTAAAGCCTAAACCCTAAACCCTAAACCCCAAACCCTAAACTAAACCCGGAAGGGTTTAGGGTTTCGGGTTTAGGGCTTAGGGTCCCGAAACCCTAAACCCACGCACAAGCCTCAAGCCTAAGACCCGAACCCTAAGACGCCCTACTCCCAAAGAATGAGCCTTCAGCCCTAGACCCCCACAGCCCTCAACCGCCAAAACCCTAATCTGGGGTTTAGGATTTAGGGTTTAGGGTTCCCCTATCGCTTCAAAACACTGAGTTGCAACAGAGTCGGCTCAGGACTTGGGGTTCGGACTTTAGGATTCTGGTTTAAGGGGTTTAGGATTTGGGGACTTTGGTTTAGGTCTTGGGCTGTGTGGGGCTCATGAGGGTTCACAACAAATCACCAAGGTTCAGTTGATTCATCTTGACCCTAAACCCTAAACCCCAAACCCTAAATCCTAAACCCCAAACCCTAAAAACCCCAAACCTCTAAACCTTTAAATCGGAATCAGGAGTCTTCCGGTCGGTCGTGCAACTAGATTCGGACCCCCTGTGGCGTACTACATAGGACCCCTAAAAGGGACCCTATTCTTCAATTTGCTCCAGCACCCCCCCCCCCCCAAAAAAAAAAAAAAAAGAGTGCATAAATAACTCTAAATTATAATAATAACAATAATAATAATAAAACTAATACTAATAATTACATATGAATATGTACATATACACATATGATGTATATGCCTGGTATATGAATCGAGCTACCCTGAACCCCAAACCCTTAACCCAAAATGTTAGTGTTACCACACAACCTTTGGTTGTCTGCTGCTTTCAATGCCAGGCCTGGCACCCTTCAGCGACTAATCACATGTCCCGAACCCTCGATGCATAGGGTTTAGAGCTTAAGGCTTATGGTCTAGGGTTGAGTTACTACAAAATGAAGACGAACGAATTCTGCATGTAGACACGTACACAGAAAGTGCATGCATCACGTTCTGCAAGACGAAATATGCAGATGTCTGCGTGCGCACGTGCACCCTGAAGCCTCAACCTTAAACATTCAAAAACCCGAAGCCCCAAAACCCACAGACTGTGTGGGGCCTTACGATATTAGCGGTACCTTGTTGGGGTCCCCATTTGTATTTTCCAGACGGCTCCCGCCTGCGCGCGGCCTCCTCAAAGAAGGACGCTGTTGCTTCAAGCATCTCTGCTCCTGGCTGCTTGCTGGTTCTGGTGTTGAGGGTTTAGGGTTTAGGGTTTAGGGTCTAGGGTCTAGGGTCTAGGGTCTAGGGTCTAGGGTTTAGGGTTTAGGGTTTAGGGTTTAGGGTTTAGGGTTTAGGGTTTAGGGTTTAGGGCCAGGAGGAAAATACCTTAATACCTGAACCCACAATAGGAGACCCAAAAGTTCAAGGTATGTTGCCTTCTTGGGGCTTCAGGGCCTCGACGGTCTGGTCGTTAGAGATGCTAGGGTTCAGGAACCCTGTCAAGTGGTTGCTTTTGTCTCTACAATAAAAGAATGCTGTCACGCGCCCCCTTTGGGTTTGTATAAGAAAAAACGACGCCTAAGGATGATACATTCAAGTGTTTTAGGGTTTAGGGTTTAGGGCTGGCCATTGAACTGGTTAAAGCTTTGACATGGCACTTAAGCCGACAGAAAAAGAAAAAAAAAACGGCATGACAAGCAACACATTTTCGATGAGCTGCTGGCGTTACAAACATCTTATAAATCCTAAACTTAAGAAGTCCCAAACCCAGTAACCTAGGAGTACAAAGGGTGCCCCTTCTTTGAAGGGCACCCCCCCCCTCCCCCCCCGTCCCCCCCCCCCCCCCCCCCCCCACCCCCCCCCCCCCCCCCCCCCCCCTTCCCCGCCCTCCCCCCCACCTCCCCCCCCCCCAAAAAAAAGGAGGAATTGGGGCACCACGGGGCATCCTAGAGAACTGCAAAAATGGCACCCGAAAGCAACCCCGAGAATCATCTCAATGACGTATGAAAAAAATCGAATGCGAAGCGGAGCCCTGCAAGCTCGCGTAGTAGCATGAAAGGCACCCCCCCCCCCCCCCCCCCCCCGACCACCGGTCCCTCTCGTGCAGTGCCCGAAAACTGTAGCACAAGAGCTTGGAAGTTCACGGTACCTATAACCCCATAACTGTACTTATAAGCCCCCTAAGTGCCCCATAACTGTACTCATAATTAACCCCAATTATAACTGCACTTATAAGCCCCTTAAGTGCCCTATAACTGTACTTATAAGCCCCCTAAGTCCCCTAAGTAGGTCGTAAGTAGACTTATGATTGGAGTTATAAGTGCCCATGAACCTCCCAGAGGAGGTTGGATGCAATTTAGGGTTTAGGGTTTAGGGTTTAGGGCAGCTGGAGAGGCAATGCAATGAGGTCTCGACCCTCCTTTCTGTCTGTGAAGCTGCTTGCTCTTTCCCTGTTGGAGCATGTGGCCCGCACTTTGACCGAGCCAAACTCCAGAGCTAGGGGACACGTGTATGATGACGTCGAATTCTGAGAAAGTTAAACCCTAAACCCTAAACCCTAAACCCTAAACCCTAAACCCTAAACCCTAAACCCCAACATAATGCCTCTCAAGCCCTTGCATCATGAGAGCAGTCCACTGCCTGGCTATTACATCTGTAACCGCTAGACCCTAACGCCTGAAAGGAGTAGTTCGGAGGCTACACAGGAGACAAGACACAACATTGGGGGGACCCCAAGGTGGCATGCCTTATTGAAGGCACCCCAAAAATGGGTATAGGCTTTCTGGTGTTTTCGGTATACCTCCTAAATCTGTAACTTGTCTGTTATACCTACTTGGAGGTTCATGGTACTTACTAACCAATTATAACTGTACTTATAACCCCGCTTATAATACCCCTAAAGGGCCTTATAGGGGTTATCCCTACTTATGTCATAAGCCCAGTTATAAGTGGTTATTAAGTCCCATGAACCTCCAAGAGGTGGAACATCACTTTTGGCGCTTGGCCGCACCCCACACAGGGCATCTTCGTCAAAGGATTGTGTGCACTCGCTCGTGAAGGGAACTCCGCATGGAACCAAACCCTAAACCCTAAACCCTAAACCCTGAACCCTAAACCCTAAACCCTAAACTCTAAACCCTAAACCCTAAACCCTAACGCTTTGCGCTGAGCTTCCGGGGAAGCAGCTTCCTCCATCGCATGGTTCGATGCAGGTGGGGCCGAAGGCGCTTTTAGCCTTCATGAAATGAATGAAACAAAGGTGTTGAATTAGATCCAAGAGTGGGCTCGAACTCCCTTCCGGCGCAAGGCGGAAAAGATTTCGTAGCTGTCTGCAAAGGTCCCGTTGACTTCTTTCCCCCAAAACTGCTCCATAAGCCCGTGCACATGGTGCTCGAAGAAGAACTCCTGCAGCTTGGAGGCGCACAAGGCCACCCGAGCTCATGCATGAGCTGGCTTTCCATGTTCTCGGACCACTTTCTAGGCCTAGTAGTGGGCTTTCTATTTACCTACAGGTGAGTAGCAAGTGCCCTTACTTAGTTTGTATAACCCGTAAAACTGTAGGTAAAGAGGGTCCAAGGCAGACCACCTTGCAGCAAAGGTTAGCCTGGACCCCCCGGCTCCACATGAACCGGTGCCTGCAGTAAGACAGAGACACGCTGGGAGAGAATGACCGTTTAGGGTTTAGGGTTTAGGGTTTAGGGTTTAGGGTTTACAGTAGGGTTTAGGGTGTAGGGTTTAGGGTTTGGGGTTTAGGGTTTAGGGTTTAGGGTTTAGGGTTCAGGGTGGCTCCTTCAAGTTGCCGGGATCCTGGACAAGTTGCTGCACGATCGGAAACTCCACTTTGGGGGTGTCGATGTCCAGCTTGAAGGCGCAGAAGTCATCAGCACCACACATCTCCTTGGGTGCTCTTTAACCCCCCCCTGGTAAAAGTTTAACTTCTAGCTCCCTTAAAAAGAAATGAATGAGGAACCCCTAAACTTATAAAGTGATAAAGTTGGTGTAAAGCCCCACCTAGTCTCGTGAATCCTGGACACCGGGTTGTCCGCTGAACCTGGCTCAGCCGTCACGGGCACCCCGTTGTAGAAGGTGAGTTTGGGCTCCCACGCTTGACGAAGATCAGCTGGTGTACCTTCCCAGTACGAAGCTTCGTTTTGCTTCTGTGCCTCCCAAACATAAACCTCGTCAAACGTCAGCCCACGTTCGGCGTACTTGGTCACGAAAAACTTCGTAGCATCACCAAAACGGGATCCTCCGGCATCGAATAGAATGCGTCTGGAGTTGGGACGCTGCGGGTGACTTTTGCTGTCTGCCAAAACCAGCCAATCAATTGAAAACAGCACCTAGACCGGGGAGTAACCTAGGAATAAAAAAAAGTACCCTTTTTGGCTTTAAGGGGATTATAAGGGAACCCCAAACCCGAAAAATGAAATACTCCGGGTCCTAGTAGTCCGAAACCCTAAACCCTAAACCCCAAACCCTGAACCCTAAACCCCAAAGGGGTCCTAGGCACTGAGTGATCGGCAGCTTGGCACATCATTCGCGGATCCCGCAAGATGCCAGCCAGGGGCTCAATCTGTTGTGGCAACTGCCCTGCCCTCGGGTTTAGGGTTTAGGGTTTAGGGTTTAGGGTTTAGGGTTTAGGGTTTAGGGTTTAGGGTTCAGGGCTGAGGGTTTAGGGTGTACGGTTTCGGAATTAGGGAGAAGCTCGGCATGGGCAAGCACTGACAACCCAAGCAGCAACACGGGTCCTGCGTAAGCAAGACGAGGCGCCTGCAGATCTTGGAAAAGGGATCTTGCTGATCGCCCTTCTCGGTGACTTCATTCATGTTCATCCCGAGCCACAAGTCTGACTCAGAAGCCAAAGCCTTGCAAAGAGTCTGCTTATCCTTGGTGAGTTTCAGTGGGTCCTGCGCGAAGGACGCCTCGAGGCCGCTGCTCTTGTAACCGTCTTCCGCGCATGCCGCGCCATCCGCACCAAGACTCACGGCCGACATTTGTCCACCTTGCCCCTGCGTCGGAATGAAGGCGTCAGCCTCGCGTAACCTTGGTAGCCCAGAAAGCATCTCATAATTAGGGCACCCCCCCCCCCTTGTTTGGGGTTGCTTACTTGATAAGGGAACCTTGGACCAAAACAAAATGAAAAAGGGTACCACTGGCCTACCAAGTAGCAGAAACGCACCCCCGTGTTGTTTAGGCTGCTGGAGCGCAGCGAAGTCGTCGGTGCAGTTCGACGCGGCCGCCGCGCCACACGCGCTGAGAGCGCTGAGGATCACACGCAAGGTCGCCATGTCTCGATGGCACCCCAAGGGGGCTGAGGACTGGTGTTCGATGATTATCGCTGCGCACGTGGACGTCATCTCCGGAACGAACCGACAAGACAGTAATGACCACGAAGTACTACAATGCAACATCGCGTCCGTTTGGCATTGCAAAGGTCAAGTGGACAAAAGCCCGAATCAAACCCCAAACTCCCATCGGCCTAAAGCCTAAAGCCTAAAGCCTAAAGCCTAAAGCCTAAAGCCTAAAGCCTAAAGCCTAAAGCCTAAAGCCTAAAGCCTAAAGCCTAAAGCCTAAACCCAGTAAGCCAAGATTGAAAAGGGTGTCCCTTTTGTTGCTTAAAGGGTTTAATAAGGGAACCGCAACCCCCAACAACAACAAAAAAAAAAGGAAGGGAATACTAAGCCCCTACACCCTAAACCCAAAACACCTAAACCCTCACCCTAAAACTTTAAACCCTAAACCCTAAACCCCACACCCTAAACCCCGAACCCTAAACCCCAAACCCGTGGCCTGGAGCATGTCCAGACGCGGCTTCTCTCAGGCCAACCTGCGCGCCGGCCTTCAGCTTGGGTTTGGGGCTTCGGGTTTGGGGTTTAGGGCTACGGTTTAGGGTTTAGGGTTTAGGGCTAGGGTTTAGGGTCTAGGGTTTAGGGTCTGGGGGCTTAGGGTTTGGTTTGGGGGTTCGGGTTTAGGGTTTAGAGTTTAGGGTCTGGGGGCTTCAGGGTGGGCTTCAGGGTCTTCAGGACCCTAAACCCTAAACCCTAAACCCTAAACCCTAAAACCTAAACCCTAAACCCTAAACCCTAAATCCTAAACCCAGGGTCTTGAGGGACTTCAGGGTCTTCAGGGGCTTTAGGGTCTGGAGGGGCTCTAGGGATGTCAGGGGTTAGGGCTTGTAGGGGGCTTTGGGGCATTAGGGGCTCTGGGGTGTGTTGCTTCAACCCTACACCCCACACCCTAACCCCTAAACGCCCTAAACCCTAAACCCCACACCCTAAACCCTAAACCCTAAACCCTAAACCCTAAACCCTAAACCCTACACCCCAAACAACAAAAAACACGCATAAGGAAACGGCAGCCCCGAGAGCCTTGGACAGGAGCTTCGCGGCATGCTTGCTGCAATTGAAGCTGACCTGCCCACCACTGGTTGGTTTAGGGTTAAGGGTTACCGTCCCCTGAACCCGATTACTTATTGTCTTAGGGTTTGGCGCTTTTGGGGTTGGAGGTTTAGGGTCTGGGGTTTGAGGTTTAGGGTCCGGGGTTTAGGGTGTAGGGATTGGGGTTTAGGGTTTAGGGTTGGGGGTTTAGGGCCCCCCGGCCTGAAGATCTCGCTTGCCGTGGAAGAGGTAGTACCTGAAGCACGAGGCCATCGCCCTAAACCTTAAACCCTAAACCCTACACCTTGAACCCTAAACCAAACAAGACCCTAAACTAAACAAAAGCCTAAACCCAGTACACACGAGAAGCATCTCAGGCTACTGGTTCGGCCTACCGATGCATGCCCACACACTAGACAAGTGCCACAGCCTCAAACCCTAACCCTGGCCCCAAACCCTAAACCCTAAACCCTAAACCCCATATTACACGCTAAGCCGTTAGGGGCCCAAGCTCCCAGACCCCTAACAGCTCTTGTCTTGATAGGTTTGGGTTTTCGGCTTGGCCTTTCTGCTTGTTTCTCCTTTGTTTCCCGGGAGGGTTTAGGGTTTAGGGTTAGGGTTTAGGGTTTAGGGTTTAGGGCTTAGGGCTTAGGGCTTTGGGTTTAGGGTTTAGGGTTTAGGGTTTCGGGTTTCGGGTTTCGGGTTTAGGGTTTAGGGTTCAGGGTTTAGGGTGTCTGCACCCGAAAGCTTGAAAGCGGGAGGGAGCCAAGCCCGCACGTCCGCGGCAAAGCTTCGCTTAGGGCTGAGGGCTTACAGGGTTGAGAGGGGTGCATACCCTAAACCCTAAACCCTAAACCCTAAACCCTAAACCCTAAACCCTATACTAAACCCTAAACCCTAAAGTGAACGAGAGGAGGTGTAATGTTTGCGGCCTTCTCATCCTGAACCCTGAAGACCTGCCTCCCTAAGCCCTATAAGCCCTAAGCCCTAAACCCCTGAGGGCCCGAACCGTTGAACCCCAAAAACCCCTAACAGCCAAGACCCTCGTATCAACCCCAATCCCTAAACCCTAAACCCTAAACCCTAAACCCTAAACCCTAAACCCTAAACCCTAAACCCTAAACCCTAAACCCTAAACCCTAACCCTGTACGCCAAAGCGTGCCGACACACCGGGCGCCAGCGCCGTTGGCAGCGCCAGCGGCGAGGGCGGCCCGTGCTTGAGGCAGCAGCCACCCTCCAGGTTTAGGGTTTAGGGTTTAGGGTTTAGGGTTTAGGGTTTAGAGTTTAAGGTTTAGGGTTTAGAATTAGGGTTTACGGTTTCGGGTTTAAGGTTTCGGGTTTAAGGTTTAGGGTGTAGGGTTTAGGGTTTAGGGCTCAGCCACCGGCCCTCTTTCAGAGTTGAAGATGTAAACATTTCGAAGGTGCTCGACCTGGAGTGCTTGGGGTCTTTTGACCTTGAACCCCAACTATAGTCCCTTTAGAACCCTTCTAAGCACACAGCTTCTATGTATCATTCACTTGGGCTCGATATATATATATATATATATATACTGCAATATGTATGTACATATGATATATATATATATACACTACATATCATATACATATATATATATATATACACACACACGTTTCTGAAAACGAAAGGCCTGACAGAGCGATGCAACCTGCAAGGCGTTCTGGGTATTCCATGACCTCCGCGCCAGCTTTGGGAGTCCGGAAGCCGGCTTGGAGCAAGGGGAATCGAAAGGGGTTTAGGGTTTAGGGGTTTGGGGGTTTAGTTTAGGGTTTAGGGTTTAGGGTTTAGGGGTTTAGGGGTTTAGGGGTTTAGGGGTTTAGGGGTTTAGGGGTTTAGGGGTTTAGGGGTTTAGGGGTTTAGGGGGTTTAGGGGTTTAGGGGTTTAGGGGTTTAGGGGTTTAGGGGTTTAGGGGTTTAGGGATTTAGGGGTTTAGGGGTTTAGGGGTTTACGGGTTTACGGGTTTACGGGCAGGGGTTTAGAGGTTACAAGGTAAAACAAGCTTCCGTTAGCTAAGCCCAACAGCCTAAACCCCAATCCCTTATACGTCGAGTCCTGAGCCCGACACCCTAAACCCTAAACCCTAAACGGCCCTAAACCCTAAACCCTAGTTTAGCTGGCCGAGTGCTTGCAGGCAACACAAACGCGACTCCAAGCTCAAACTCCACAGCCCCCAAGCCATCGATGAAACTCCAAGCCCACCCCTAAAACCCCAACCCAGCCCCCTGGGAGGATCCAAAAGCCTTTAAATCAAGGAGTTCCATAGCCATTCCGCCTCGCTTTGGGTGCTGCCTCGATTTTGGGTGCTGCTTCAGCGCGTGGGCTTCGCGCTGAAGCAGCACGCTGAAATTGAGGTGGAACGATAGTCGAGGTGGCACGCTGTGAAAATCAACTGGGTTTCGCTAGAAAGGCTATTTTGCTTGAGAAGAAACATGCCAGGCCAAATTCCCGTGCCAAATGCATGCTGCCTCGATTTGGGTGCTGCCTCGATTTTGGGTGCTGCTTCAGCGCGTGGGCTTCGCGCTGAAGCAGCACGCTGAAATTGAGGTGGAACGATACTTGAGGTGGAACGGCTAGGGAAACCCTTGATTAAAACCAGAAACCCTGAACCCTTTGTAAACTTAAGGACCCAAAACCCTAAACCCGAAAACCCACAATCCTAAACCCAAAATCCTAAACCCCAAACCCAAAATCCTAAACCACAAACCCTACACTCTAAACCCGAAAACCTAAACCCTAAGCCCCAAACTTTAACCCAAAAACCCGAAACCATGAAACTCTAAAACTTTAACCGCGAATTCCTGAACCGCAAACCGTAACCCCAAACCCCAAACCCCAAACCCTAAACCCCAAACCCCAAACCCAAAACCCCAAACCCCAAACCCTAAACCCTAAACCCCAAACCCCAAACCCAAACCCTAAACCCCAAACCCCAAACCTTAAACCCCAAACCCCAAACCCCAAACCCTAAACCCTAAACCCTAAACGTGAGGTGTCTGCCGCGGTCCGAGATGCGCTCTGCAGCGCAGCGGCAGCGCCCTGGTGCCAGAGGAGCACGGTGCACGCTAGAGGTGGGATTGGGGTTTGGGGTTTATGGTTTAGGGTTCAGGGTTTAGGGTTTAGGGTTTGGGGTTTGGGGTTTGGGGTTTCGGGTTTGGGGTTTGGGGTTTAGGGTTTAGGGTTTAGGGCTTGGGGCCATCTAGGTGGTTTAGGATAGCCTAGGGCTTGGGATTGCGGCCCTTGAATTTAAGGGTTCCTAAGACGGACCTACTAGTAGTATAGGGTACTATTTGGAGGGCTCTGCTTTTTGGATACTCCCAGGTGTCTGGGTTGGTTAAGTCGGGCCACACTCGTTTCATCCTGCTGTTGATCGCCGCACACGTCAAGGAAGTCCATCTTTCCCGGCTCCCCAGTACGCGACTTGAACATTTGGGGTTTCGAGGTGGGGTTGGAGGGTTTAGGGTCGCTAACCCTACTAAACCCTAAACCCTAAACCCCCAAGGAGCCCTTGCACCCGTGTAAGGCCGTAGGCTTCTTAGAGCCTGGCCTGTGAGTAGCCTCCGACGATCAGCCGATCAGGGGCCTGATTTGGGGTTTAGGGTTTAGGGTTTAGGGTTTAGGTTTTAGGGTTTAGGGTTTAGGGTTCGGGGTACAGGGTTTGGGGTTGAGGGTTGAGGGTTTGCGGGTTTATGTAGGGCTTGCGTAGGGTTTCGGGTTGAGGGTTGGGGTTTAGGGGCCTTCGGGTTCAGGGTTCACGCTTCCTAGGACATCTCAGGGGGGTTGCTTCCCCTACACCCGTTGCATCGTCCATGCATAACGCCTAGCACCCTTATAAGTCCCATAAGGCCTTACATGGGGTCTCTTACCTGAATGCCAACCCTTCTGGACCCGGAA